ATGGCAAACACCGGGGGGGGTTGGATGGGGGAGGGGTTGTACTCATCGTCGTGCATGCCGTAGTCGTGAGACCATTGACAGTTGTAAGCACTGTGTAACTGCCTCGAGGGTGCTTGACCATTTTAACACAACGTGGTGCGATCATCCCCCTTGCACGGAGTGAGGGTTCTCCACCCCGCACAACATGATCTACTCGACAGCCATTATGGTTACCGCCAAAAAAAAAAACGGAGGAACAAAAAAAAACAACGGTAACCTGGTTGCCGAGTTCACGAAGTGAATTGGCTTGTTTCGCAACGTCGTTGCCAAGCGAAGACCCAATCCCGATGGCAAACACCGGGGGGGGCGGCTTGTTTTACAACGTCGTTGCCAAGCGACGAAAACCCAACCCCGATGGTGTTGGGGGGGCGGGAATTAGATAAACAGAGAGGCAGCAGCGGGAGATGGAGCGATTCTCACCCACCACGTATCTTCCCTCACACGCAGACGTTTTCCATGCAGGATCTCCCCAACAATGACGCAAGCGCACAGGCTGACAATCATTCGATCCCGCCCCCACTATTTCTTTTCGCGCTCATCACATCGAGACATCAACAACACAAGGCCGCGGCCGCGTGCACCACCCTACGTGCACAGCACGCAGCACGCTTACCGTAGGTGACATACGATATCACAGCCGCTGGACTGATTTCCAAAGCTCGATAACTCCACAGCAGAAAGCAAGGCGATGCCAAAAAAGGCGGCGCAGGAATCGTCTCATCAAGAGCTTTCCAAAACATTACATCCTCGTCGTAACCGAGCTTTGAAAATTCGGTCCAGGTTCTATTCTCCCACCTACGCCGAACAACCAACCGCATTCCACACCCCAGCCCCAAACTCACGATTTCTGGACGGCGTAACGCTCTTAGCCCTCGGGCCGTACGCCATCACCGAGTCTGGCGGCGCTTTAACCTTGGCGAAGATGTGGAGGCGTTCGGGCACGACGATGGCGGGGCAGTCCTGACACCACACAAGCTGGTCGGGGGTGATAGAATCCCAGTAAGAGTTGATCTGGTCGGTCACCTGCGGGAAGTCCTCGAGCTTTGTCTGGTCGAACTTTGGTTTGCTCTTGCCCTTGATTTTGGCGAAGTCGTGGCCGTCCGGTTCCCTCGGCTCTGCTGCTGCTTCTCCTCCTCCCCATCCTGTCGCTGAAGCAAAAAAAAGGCCGCCGAATTGCACCGAAGCAAAAAAAAAAAAAACACGGTCATGTTGGCCACACTTCAGGGCGGGGGGAGGGGGGGGGGCGTGCTGCTCGACAATCCTGCAAGCAAAGGTTCTGTGCCTCGACAAAAGGGCAAGGCGGCGTCCTCCCTAGGGGGTGGATGATCACCTAAGAGACCTACTAGCCCTGTGGCATGTTTCGGTAGCCCCCGTGGTGGTGTACTCTACACCCGTGGATTGATTGTCAACACCGTGCGTTGAAATCTACTCGTGTCGACCAAAAGGCCGATGCTGATCGTGCCTGCGAGGATCAGCACCAAATACCCATCTGCCTCGTCGGAGACAGGCGGAACACTTTGGTCGAATAAAACATCACCGGCATTGTGATCGACCAGCGAGTACATTTTGTGCAGAACTTGAGAAGACATGGTAATTGCCACGAATTTTCCACGGCCACGGAACTCCGTGGAACACTCGTTGTTCCGTTGAACTCCAACAAACTCCACTTTCATTCCTTGGCAACACTTGAATTTCCACGGAATTTCATTACAAATACGGCAAGCCGTAGGTTCCACCGTGGAATGCCGTGGGGTCCATTGCTGTCCGTGGAATTTTCTTCGGAGCGGCGTCCGCGGACTTCAATGGGTGTTAGAGGTCAAACGATGGTCTTGCGACTCATCGAGTGAGAGGTGTGGGATGGTGCACTGTGTTGTTCTGGAGCTCCGCATCCTCGATACTCTCATTTTGGGATTCAACCTTCGCTGTCAAGCTCCGAGATTTAATAGTATCTGCGTATAAGAATCTCTAGGGCGGGCTACTGTTATGAGATGTATGCGCCGGCGGAACATAGAAGAGATGTAGCTCCCCCATGAAGGGTAAAAACAGGGGACAGGGTCTAGTAGCCCCTGCTTGAGGATAGCTGATCCGTCCCCCACCACCGTTCTCATTCCTACCTTTACCCCAAGGCAATAACAACAGCTTCTGTTCCGCACGAGTAAATACCAAGTTAGCTCTTCACGGTCTTCCAGATTGCACCGCGCGTGCATATAATTACAGAGTCCAACAAAGCCTATATAGATGAGTTTTCTTGAGAACCGACATTTTGACGGACCAGAGCATCCCTGTATAGAGGCATCACCTTATCATGCCTATACCGGGACCATACCGGGCGACCAGCATCATTCAACCGGCAATATTCCGGGACCACATACTGCACGGTTAGTTATCTGCGAAATTGTGGGACCGAAAGGGGCATATTTTCATATTTTCCCCTTGAGCACTCTTGTGGTTTTCGTGATAATTACTTCAAGGAGTCAGAACACTCTTTCATCTCTATGCATTGGTCAACTCGTTGTTGATGGTACGCATACCACTGCTGCTGTATATTCCTGCCGTACATGTAGATACGAATTGTTCTGGGGCTCTTTGATGTGTACGAACGGGAAGAGAACTTCTTCGATTCCCGAAAAGTCTATGTCATCTGATGCTTCCTGCCCACGCCGTTTAGTTTGTTAATCTACATGATGATCGCTCAAAATTGCCTCGGGAAGAGAAGAGGGTCTGTTTTGTTTTGTTTTTGGTCTTCACCTCAAATCAGCGCTCACAGCACTTGTGCCGTGAACTCCAACCCGTGGTCACATAGAAGGGTTCTTCTCCCTGAGGCCCCCTACCCACCCCTCCTGCGGTGCTTTGTCTTTGATTTTTAAATGCGAGAAGAGTGCAGCTATCTCTTCTCTCTGTGCACAGACGAACTACATGTACACTGCTGCGCTTTCCGCCTTCCGCCCAGGAAATGAAAAAAAAAAATGATGAAGAAATTCAAATTTCAACTCTGCTGGTCACCAACTACTGCTGCTTACAGGTGACACTAGATATCACACACCCCGGGACCGATTTCCGATTTTCAAAGCTCCACTACTCCACGTCGAAGACAACATACAGAATGATCGATACAGTTTCGGGGCGCTCTCGATGAAGCGGTTGCAACTCCGCCACTTTCGACACCGCAACTCTGCTGTTGCCATAGATACTGCTCGTTGTGTGTACAGAAAAATAGAGCCTTCCGCGTGGCAAAAAGAGCAGTGTTGTTGCAATCTAAACGTCACCCATGCAATATGGTACTGCAAGCTGTTTGCACCATACCGAATGCTTCAACATTGGGCCAAGTTCTGTATGAAGCAAATTGCAATACTCATACTACTCAAGCTACCGCTGTCGAGTGGACGACGATACACGCATGTCACCAGCCGCTGCGAAACGTTCTTATCATTGCCGGGCGCGCAAATCAACTTCAAATCCGCACGCAGAAAGATGATTTTTTGAATCCTGAACGTGCATGCGACACATTGGCAACCCTCGCACCTGATGTTCCTCCCCCCTCATCTACAGCACCACCTTCGACCTGCGTGGGAGGCTTAATATTTTCCGCGGCAGGAGGAGGAGTGGGACGAGGAGGGGTGTCCGGGAGAGAAAATTCATCTTCAGAGTCGATGCTGGCGTCGAAGTCTACTGCCTCGCGACGCGGCGGCGGCGGTGATGGGCGGCTTTTGGAGAAGCCAAACAGGTCGTCGAAGAGGTCGCCACTGCCCTTCTTGTCCATCTCTTGCTACAAACGCGCAATCTCCGTGCCCAGCCCCCTCTGTGTGCGCGGTGCCGATCCGTTCGGCGAGAGCAGGTTGTGACAGCGGAAGAAGTTGTCTCGGTGCCTTGCACCTTGCACAAGGTCATGTTCACAGAGGAAGTCTGCGCGCGCGACGATTGGGTCCTGATTGCGCCGCGTCCGCGTTGGCGTAGCTGCTCCTCCCCCTAGGCTGTCTCTCTTCCTCCCTCGCACCTCTCCTGCTGGCTCACTTGTTGAGAGCTAACTCGCCACCACAACAACCATGACGGTGAAAAAAGGCCCCTCAACCGCGAAGGTCGCTTCGGCAGCTGATACAACCCTGTGGGAACAGCTCCTATCGCGAGGAGGTGGTCAGGCGCCTGCTGCCGCTGCTGTTACTACTGGTCCCGCTAGGCCCCACAGCGCGAGAAGACCTGCTGCCCCTGAGACAGCAGAGAAGGCGGCACCTCGTTCCGACATGCTGCCCAAGAAGAAGCGCAAAGCTGTCGCCTCCGCAGATACTAAAGGGGTGGGGAACTTGCACAAGAGCAACTGGGCCATGCTTGCTGCAGGAGGTGCCGCCACCGCAACTGCTGCTGCGGTATGCAATGGGCACTCAACCACCGACAAGAGCAAGAAGAAGAAGGCGAAACAGCAGGGTAGCAAGCGACCGCGAGCCGAGATCGGGTCGAGGAACAGCAACGGCATGGCCACCACCACGCCCAAGTTCTTCTCTGTCAACCGGAATACTGCCGTATCCGGCGCCAGCACCACCGCCGGGGTCAGTGGCAAGGCCGGCAAGAAGCGTAAACGGACCACCGGCGCCGGCGCCGCCATTGGCTCGCCCACCGCGAGTACCAACGGCCGTGCTCCCAACCACGTTACCGGAGGTAAGCAGGAGGAGCGCCCAGGGACGAACAAGAGCACCAAGCGGCCGCGCTCCAACGTCCTTAACCTCGCCTTCCAGGCACAAAAAGAAGAGGCTGCCGCCGCTGCCGCTGCCGCCGCCGCGGGCGGAGCGAAGCACCCCGGCGGAGTCAAGGGGCGAGGGAAAAGGGGTGGGTCTGAGCCGGCGTTGACGGCGGCAGAAAAGGCGCAGTACGTGGCGCTGGACTGCGAGATGGTTGGCGTCGGGCCTGGGGGCTGCCGGAGCGCGCTCGCGCGATGTTGCCTCGTGGACTGGGACGGGAACACCATGTGAGTCGCGGCACCTTGGTGCTTGACTTCGTGAAACAGGGTTACGTAGACCCTGTGGGGGTAAGGAGACATGCATGTGCGTACATGATGGGTTGCGTAATGTGGTTGCTGCGTTGGCTAGGCCGTGGCATGGCTGCTGCAGTTGTTGTTGGAAATCAAGCTGGCTTGCGTGCATCTACGTGTACCTCGTCTTCTGCTGTGTTAATTTGTTTGCTCTCAGTCTTGGGCGCTCCTGGACCACCTTTGACGTATCCTTCGAAACGAGCGGTATTCTGAAGCTGCTGTGCCCGATACTCTGCCAGATGTCGGACTTTGTACATGCACTTCTGCTGTTCAGATCGTTTCCTGTACAAATTGGTTCGGGGTGGTATTCAATTCGAAACGTGTTAATTCCACCGTGCCCATAATAGCCACCACGCACTACATAATTTTGATAACCCCACGCATTTTTGCCTTTTCAGGCGACCTTCACCGCCGCTGCAAAGGTGATGATCCCCCCCCCCCCCCCCCCCCCCCCCC